TAGCTAATGTAGAAAGAATAGATAAGAGTAGAGACATTCTAACGGCAGAAATATAGCTCAGCAGCACAGTGTCTGCTTGGCAAGTGCAAGGTTCTGAGTTAAAAAAAAAAAGATTCCAGTAAGATTTATGGTACAATGTATGTAACCAGGCATGAGATAATTCTTTAAAAATATTTTTACATTCTATTTAATGAAACTTTACTGGGCTGGTGAGACAGCTCAGCCGTCTAAAGCTCCTGCTTGGGGAAGCTTAGGCAGGTGCAGGGGATCGAGGTTCAATCTCTGTCACCTCATGCCACACCAGCCCCACCCCCAGGGTGGGCCAAACTGGCCATTAAAAACAACAACAACACTTTACTGATGAGCAACAATGTTCTCTGACTGTATCAATGAGAAAGTGGTGTCAGCCTTACCTATAGCAGCCACGTTCCTAAATGTTTCTCTCATCACATCTCTATAGAGCTTCTTTTGGGATGGATCCAGCAAAGCCCACTCCTCCATGGTGAAGTTCACAGCTACATCCTCAAAGGTCATTGCCTCCTATATGATTACACATGTGTTACTTTGAAGGAAGGTTGAGACTCACAGCCTGGGATCTTTTAACTTCTCTCATAAAATTTAGAACTGAAAGACAGGTGTGGTAGTGCATGTTTGTAATTCCAGCACTCAGGAGGCAGGAGTATTGCCATGAGTTTGAGACTAGTGCAGGCTACAAAGTGAATTCAGGATCAGCTGAAGTATGTTGTGAGACCCTGTCTCAAAAAAGAAAACCAAAAAGCTATATGGTTGCTGAATATTTCAAAGTTTGACTCTGTGTCTTAGTCAACAAATCCATGTGTATAAATGGTTTTTCAGACAGTAATGGTGCCAGAAATTGAACTCAGGACCTTGTGTTTGCCAGGTAGGCAATGTGCCACTGAGCTGTCTCCCTCAGAGAGCTTTTTTTTCTTTAATGTATTTAGTACAGGTTCTACAGGGTCTCACTACACAGATCAGACTTGTAGTGATCCTTCCTGTTTTTCAGGCTTCCAAATGCTGGCATTACAGGCACGCACCACCATGCGCAGTCTCAATTGCCATCTCAGCACACCTTGGGGGCAGGGGTGGCACGGCATGCTGGGGATCAAACTCCCAGCCCCTGCCTCTGTCTAAGCAGGTGCTTTAATCTACTGAGCTATCTGGCCAGTTCTCAGAGAGCAATTTTGATTTTGATGCTAGATTGTCACTCAGTGCTAAAGCAACGGCAGAATAGGAGTAGTGGTTCTTCTGCTGATCATGGAAAGAGCACTTGAGCACTGTCTCTAACGCAGAGCACACAGAGGAGGCTTTCAAGATCACCATCCACACAGTACTAGGGAAGATAATTATCTAACAAGTGCTTTCATAGGCCATGGTGATATCTCTTTTCCAATTTCATTATTTATTGCAATCCCTTTTTTTTTATTACACTCATGCAATATTTTAAAACATGAATTTTGTTCCATAACAATGAGCATCAAATAAAGGTTACAAATGACTAAACAATAGGAAGTTTTACTGAAATAAATCTATGAAAATTATAGAGAAAGGTGGCATTTATTTTATAGCTCAAGGTCACAAAATGGTCATCTCCACTCATAATTTTGCATGCTTATATCTGGTACTCTGAATGACTAATTTAAAGAAAACAATATGAAATCTAACAACCACTGTTGAATTTCTATCATTATTTAAAAAAATTTTTTTTAAATTTTTTAAAGACTGGTACAACCACTGTGGAATTTCTATCATTTTATTTAGTGAAATTCTGGATCATTTGTAATGTTTTATTTTATTTTTAATATTTTTATTCTCCTTAAAAAATAAACAATAAAATAAAAGATATTCTAGGGGGATATGGGAAAATAATGAAAGAAAAAGAATGATTAAAATATATGCACTGAACACCAATGTATCACAAAATAATTACACACAAAAGCAGAACTTCACCTATGTGTGGTAGTGCATGCCTTAATCCCAGCACTTGGGAGGCTGGTGCAGGAGGATTGCCAAGAATTTTAAGGTCAGCCTTGGCTACACGGTAAATTCAAGGATAATGTGAAATACCACGTGAGGTCCTCACTCAAACTCCCCTCAAAAAATGGTAACTTCACACTTCATGGATATTTTATGGACATTATTTTTAAAATGAAATACTAGTTAAGTGTTATAGCACATGCCTGTAATCCCAGCACTTGGGTTTAGGCATGAGGAATGTTGGGAGTTCAAGTTAAGCCTGGCCTACATAGAGTTCAAGGCCAGTTTGAAATACAAAGTGAGGCTCTCTCTCAAAACAAATGCTGAGAAGTAAAGCCATGCTGTTGAACTGTAGGGGACTCAGGTCAACAATTTCTGACATTGCCAGTCTAACGGAAGACCCAATACTATTATGGACTACTGGACTCCTTTAGATTATTTTGCTGAGTTAACACACCTATAATATTCAAATAACGGAACTTAACAAAAAAAAAAGGGTATACAGATGAATGTCCGTTTTGTATCTGTGTATTCAAAGTGGTTAGGATAGATATATAGTTACATTCTCTTAATGAATAGAGGAATTTGTTCTAAAGGTGTTTCTAGATAGGATATCATGTCCGCATCTTGTACAGCAATTAACCACTGGGAGGAATGTATGCAATATATTAATTATTGAAACTGTCCTACCAATTTGATTTGAAACTGTCTCATTGCTATTTGTTTATCAATAAAATTATGGAAAACAAACAAACAAACAAACAAACACAAAACAAAAGTGCAGACAGAGCCCAGCATCTGATGTAGGAGTTGGTGGTCGAAGGTATGTGTGAAGTGGACATAGCAAGTTTTCCCAGTGAACATTTAACACAAAGAGGCAGTTCTTTATTCAAGAGGCCAGCTAAAACAAATGTTAAGTTCCCTAATAAAGCAAGCTTAAGAGAAAAAACAAAAACAAACAAACAAACAAACAAAAAACCAAATGCTGAATGAGTGGGGATACAGGTACCGAGCTGGCACAGGTGGAGCTCTAACCATGCTGAAGTCACCTCATTGGGAAAGAATGCTTAGGTCCTATCAGATGTCTTGATCCTACCCACAGGGATAGAAAGTTTAAAAAATGTGCACAAGTGTGTATAGAAATGAAGATTAATCACCTGATCCAGGAGTCTCAGCTCCTCTTAGAGCAGATTCAGCCCACTTCCAACCCAAGTTAGGCATCCAAAAGTCCCACTCCAGGGCCAGCCAGATAGCTCAGCAGACTAATGGGCTTGCTTTCAGATAATCACAGAAGTTACTCTCAGTCCAAAGTTTTATGTGTATACATATATCTTTTAAAAAAAAACATGTTGCCCTATAAGTTGTTTGAAAACCGTTGAGCTCTATCTAAAATTTATGTACAGAGATTTCTTTTTTTTTTAAAGTTTGATTTCTTTTTTTTTAACATTTATTTATTTATTTATTTATTGTGTGTGTGTGTGTGTGTGTGTGTGTGTGGCCAGCTCAGCCCACCAGGGGGCGGGGCTGGCTGGCATGTGGTGCTGGGGGATTGAACTGCGGTCCCTGTGCTTTGCTTAGCTTGTTCTAAGTAGGTGCTTTAGACCACTGAGCCATCTGTACAGAGATTTCTTAAAATATACATTATGCTTGTAAAATATGAATTCAAATTAGTTTTGTGCCACAACAATGGAAAAATTGATATGCTGCAAAATTTTAAACAGAAGCTAGCTGGTGCCATTTAAGAACTTTGATGGACTCTGAGCAGCCTGCAGGCCTCTGCAGTTCAGGTAATCTCTGAACTTAGCCTTGAGCATGCAGGCATGGAGCTTGTGCTGGTGCCCAGCCAACTTTTTAAGAACTTAGAAGAACAATGAGCAGTTCGTGGGACTCTGGAGAGCTGCGATATGTGGGTCAAGCAGGCATGGAACCTCCCTGGCACCATTTAAGAACTTTGGAGGATTCTGGATAGCCTGTGAGACTCTGGTAAGCTCTGACACTTAGTTCCCAGAGCACAGGCATCGAGTTTGTGCTGGTTCGGGTCCAGCTTTTTAAGAACTTAGAAGGCGTCTGGGTGGTCCATGGGATCCTGATGAATCTGGCCAACACCTACCAACTCCACTGAAGCTTGACTGAGTGAGCAATGGCCAGTCACCCCACTACTAGTGAGAGCATTAGTGAGTCCCCACTATAGTGAAAAATCTTACTGGTACACATCTCACCACTCTCCAATGACTGCTAAGTCTAGGTGACTACTGGGAACTTCAAAAATGCCAAAACAGAATCATGTATGCAGATTTCTCAACACAAACCATCAAATCAAGAAGAACTTGGAGTAAAGTATTTCAGGTCCTGAAACAAAATAACTTCAAACCCCGATTGATATACTCTGCAAAACTATCAAATTCAATGGTGAGGTGAGATCTTTCCATGACAAAGAACTGAAGAAATTCATGACCACCAAACCAACCCTAGAAAGAGTACTGACAGATAATGCAGTGACAGCAGTGACCACAGCTTCAAGAACAACAGAAAGGAACTACTAGACAGAGCAAGTAATTAAAAAGAGGGAAAAGATAATCCAACATGTATGAGTTATAATCATCAATGTAAATGGCCTTAATTCACCAGTCAAAAGAAATAGACTTGGGCTGGACAGATAGTTCAGTGGACTAAAGCACCTGCTTAGGAGTAGCACAGGGGCACAGCCCAGCTGAGCCCACCCATGGGGGGGGGGGCAAGTGCTAAAACAGGATTAAGACTGGGTGTGGTGGTGCATACCTATAATCTCAGCTCTTGGGAGGCTGAAATCAGGCAGATCACTATGAATCAGATCTATGTAGAGAGACCCTATAGACTCTGAACTAAATACATTTAAAAAAAAAAAAGAAAGAAAGAAAGAAAAAGAAACAGACTAGCAGAGTACATTCAGAAACAACATCCAACAGTATGCTGCACACAAGAAACACATTTAACTCAAAAGGAAATTCACAGGCTAAAAGTCAAAGGATAGAAAACCTCCATGCCACAGGAAGCCAGAAAAAAGCAGGGGTAGCTATCTTGGTTGCGGACAACATCAACTTCAAACCAAGTATTCAAAGACATGAAGGCTACATACTTGTTAAGGGAAAACTGCAAGAGGAAGAGATAACAAATATAAAATGTATATGTACCCAATGTAGGAGCACTCACCTACATAAGACAACTTTTAATAGACATTAAAAACCAAAAGAGCAACAATAACAATTATGTGTGTGGGGGGTATTTGAACATAGGATTGTCACAAAGAGATCAACTGGTAAAAAAATCGGCCAAGAAATAACAGAATTAAACCAAGTGTGAAGAAATTGACTTAGTAAGCCTTTATAGAGTGTTTCACAAAGCAACAACAGAATACACATTCTTTTCAGCAGCAAATGGAATAGTCTCCAAAACAGACCACATAGTAGCACACAAAGCATTCTTAAGTAAATGCAAAGAATTGAAGTTATCCCATATATACTATCTAACAATGAAATAAAATGGAAATTATTGACAAAAGAAACTAC